TGACATGAATTGATAGGTGAAACCACAAACAGCCACCCACAAATAGTCTAGAAACAAAGCATCAGGCTGTCTTTGAGTTCACATGAAAACTTTAAAGTTACTCGTCGTCAGGCTACAGAAGAATACCATAACTCCTCCGTTCAGTCAGGCCTAAGTAGACATCGAGAGTCACGCAGACCTGTAACAACCCGGCCACAACACATAATTGCGTATAACATGTCTTACCTTAACACAGAATCGACCACAGAGTTCAGCGTGTATGTTATTTCTACGAATCTTTGAGTTAACATGTACTAAACATGAGTGGAGTTATCTTTATTGAAGTGAATTAGGTTTAAATCGCCGTCATGCATGAATGAATGTTATTTTTGCAATTTTACACATAATAATCCACGATGACCACATTACACAAAACTGAAATTGCTCCTCAAAATAACACATTGTCAATATTTTTTGAGACCCCCCCCCAAAATTTCACAAATCCCGTTTTCAGGGGAGCCCATGTCTTATTAAGGGGAGCCTAGCTCCCCCGTAGTTCGCACCCTGCTATAGGCTTTATAGGGTTAATGTCCGAAAACATTGAAAATCTGAGATTTATAAAAATATGTTTTAAAGTAATAGCTCACTCAAAAATGAAAAATCGCTTAAAATGTACTCAACCTCAGGCCATGCGAGATGTAGATGAGTTAGTTTCTTCATCAGAACAGATTTGGAGAAATGTAGCAGTACATCACTTGCTCACCAATGGATGCTCTGCAGTGAATGGGTGCCGTCAGAATGAGAGCTGATAAAAACATCACAATAATCCACACCACTCCTGTACATCAAAAACATCTTGTGAAGTGAGTAGCTGTGTGTTTGTAAGAAACAAATCCATCATTGAGGTGTTTTAACTTTAAACCATCACTTCTGGTCAAAATGCCAGTCCATAATAACACTTCCTCCAGTGAAGAGATCCATTGGTGAGCAAGTGATGTAATACTACATTTCTCCAAATCTGTTCCCATGAAGAACCAACTCATCTTGGATGGCCGAGGGTGAGTACATTTCCAGCGAATTTTCATTTTGGGTGAACTATTCCTTTACGAAATCTAAAACAGTAAAAGCATTATGTTTCAACATGAATAAAATTAAGCAAAATTGTGACATCGAGCATGTGAACTCCTTTGTACAAGAGGTCAGATTTTCTGCTTGCATTCAGTCAAAATGTGTTTTTCTGACACTGCATGTGCTTGTTGCTCCAGTTCTCTAATTCACAAAACAGTTTATGTATATGTATAATAATAATAGTGCTGTCTAACGATTAATCGCGATTAATCGCGTACAAAATAAAAGTGTTTGTTTGCATAATATATGTGTGTGTTCTGTGTATATTTAATATGCCTATATAAATACACACAGATACAGTATATATTTTACAAATATTTACATGTATTTATATTCATAGAAGTTATATTATAAATACATGTATTTAATATATAAACATAACATATTTTCCTAACATATATATATATATACATAATAAATGTACACAGCACACATACATATAATATGTAAACAAACACTTTTATTTTGGATGCGATTAATCACGATTAATTATTTGACAGCACTAAATAATAATAATACGGGCACATGTAAAAAATGCTTTTTGTGTTTTGTATCATATATTCATTCGTCCTGCTTTTATTAACAGTTTTTTTTTTATAGCAAAGTTGATTATTTAGAGGCCTTGGAAATTCAAGTATGATACTATAGGCCAGTGTTCGAACTATACCGTGGACTTTGGGGGAGCCCACTTTCTTTTCTTTTTTTTAATAACGGGGGGGTGGTTCGTGCACTTGCGCGTGCCTCAAAAGAGGGCTTACAATGACTTACAAAGATACATAACAGCTACAAGTGTATGCAAGCACTATATAGGATAAATCACTATACAGGATTTACCCTATTATACTTTATTGACATGAATTGATAGGTGAAACCACAAACAGCCACCCACAAATAGTCTAGAAACAAAGCATCAGGCTGTCTTTGAGTTCACATGAAAACTTTTTAATTACTCGTCGTCAGGCTACAGAAGAATACCATAACTCCTCCGTTCAGTCAGGCCTAAGTAGACATCGAGAGTCACGCAGACCTGTAACAACCCGGCCACAACACATAATTGCGTATAACATGTCTTACCTTAACACAGAATCGACCACAGAGTTCAGCGTGTATGTTATTTCTACGAATCTTTGAGTTAACATGTACTAAACATGAGTGGAGTTATCTTTATTGAAGTGAATTAGGTTTAAATCGCCGTCATGCATGAATGAATGTTATTTTTGCAATTTTACACATAATAATCCACGATGACCACATTACACAAAACTGAAATTGCTCCTCAAAATAACACATTGTCAATATTTTTTGAGACCCCCCCCCAAAATTTCACAAATCCCGTTTTCAGGGGAGCCCATGTCTTATTAAGGGGAGCCTAGCTCCCCCGTAGTTCGCACCCTGCTATAGGCTTTATAGGGTTAATGTCCGAAAACATTGAAAATCTGAGATTTATAAAAATATGTTTTAAAGTAATAGCTCACTCAACACTCTGTGTAATGTCAGAGAGGTCAAACCAGGGCTAAATCACATCTACTGTAGTCTTTGGAAGTTGCTTAGGTGTAAAAGATCAGGGCCAGTTATCTGAAAATTCAATCCCCTGAAGGGGCAATTCATGGGGAATTACTCGGATCCCCAGCCACTGTTGTGCAAGAGACATAATCCCATGTAGCTCCTGGAGGACCTCCCTTGTATCAAATGCCGAGTAAATTGCTTTTACAAAGTCACCATGACACGTTCTCTGTAGTAATTTTAACCTGTGATGTGCTGAAATGTCGCTTTGCTGTTAGTGACCAACTTAAACCTTAAAAGAAAATCATTTTGTGCTGGTAAGTATGCATATATACAGGTGCATCTCAATAAATTAGAATGTCATGGAAAAGTTCATTTATTTCAGTAATTCAACTCAAATTGTGAAACTCGTGTATTAAATAAATTCAATGCACACAGACTGAAGTAGTTTAAGTCTTTGGTTCTTTTAATTGTGATGATTTTGGCTCACATTTCACAAAAACCCACCAATTCACTATCTCAACAAATTAGAATACTTCTAATCACGATTAATCCCACCTACCATATAAAGTTTTTAAATATCATTTTTTATTTCAATAATTTCACATCTTCAAATTAATGTAGAGACTACATTTGAACATTTATTAGACTTTAAAAATGAACTTCTAATTTAAGTGAGCTTAAAACAATCTTCACATAAGCCTATTATAATAAATGACATATTTAGCAACGTGCCCTTCAGCAAGTAGAAAATTAAATATACAGAAATTGAATAAAGTTCTTAAACACTAAATTCTAAATTAAAATTAGATTAATCCTTAATGCTAAAAACGTTATTGATTCCCTCTTTTTTCATCTATTTTTTGATTAACAGACATTATCGCAGCAGGTGGGTTATTACTAGATTTTTTGACTCATGTGACCTCATCACAGTAAGTGTGTTGGATGTCAACAGGTTCCATGACTTCTGAACTTCATCTTCTTTTGTGACGCTATCATTAAACGTAACATTGAAAATACTCACAGAATGTCCGTATTGTGCCTGTCATGAATGATGGTGAAGCCCTCTGGCATGTGCTTCAGGGAGGTCTGGTGCTGATAGACTGGTCCTCTCAAAAGGCCTCATGGGATTGTATTGCATAAATGTTTAATGGGGTATTGAGGCACTTTGTGATCAACATGGACCTCATGGGGGTGCAAGACCGGCAGTTTAATCCACAAAAGCACTCAGCCACTCAGCACTCGGGCCGAGCGTTTTAATTCGCTTTCCTACCTGCCTGTCAATGTATGTATCTGCATACCTCTGCGCACCCGGTTCGCGCAGACAGGATACGTCATCAGCACGTTCACGCACGCTGTGCAGACAGAGCGAGAATGGCAGACAAACATCAACAACCCGATCTTCCTTCCTGGTGTTGTAGTACTTTTAAAGTTTTCTCACCGGTGAATGACACATGATATAGCCCAGCGGTTCCCAATTCCAGTCCTCGCACCCCCCCGCTCTGCATATTTTGCATGTCTCGCTTAGTTAACGCACCCGATTCAGATAACCAGCTCGTTAGAAGTGAGCTATGTGCATGAACTGTGTTACGATCAATATGATCCCTACATAGTGTTCATTGCTCCCTACTTCCTGAGCAGGGGAAATCCGTTGAAGCTTACTTCACTTCGAAACATTGTTCCCAATTCACTGGAATTGGGAACCGCTGATGTAGCCTAGTAATGTTGTCTCTGTGAGCTGTAATGTTGTCTCTTTTTATTCTGGTCTGTGAGCGTATGCGCTCAGGGGGGCGTGGCTTTGGACGCCGATTGCAGGGAGGGTGGGATGTACGCTTTCAGTGCTATCAGGCTAACGTTAGCATTTTCCAAGATCTCCTACTGCACCTTTAAGTGTGTGAATGAGTTGTCTTTCAAGTGTGTTCAGCAGCAAGCGTCTCTAATAGCGAAACTGTAAGTTTATCAGCTTCAAGAACAGCGTGTTATTACCTCACTAGTGGTTCGCAAAACCTGTCGGCGAGTGAAAAATCGTGCAGTGTGAACTCGGCATAATTGCACGCCTTAGAACGTTCGTCAGCCAATCAGATTCAAGCATTCAACAGCCCCGTTGTATAATAATTTTTTAGTATTTATTTTAAAATATTGCAATTATATTAAAATATTGCATTTACATTGTAATTATATTACAATATTTGTAATTATTTTAAAATATAGCTATGACATTGTAGCAGTAATATCTATTAGGGCCTTCAAATGTCATCTTTGAGAAAGAAGGCCTTGGCGTCAAAAAGTTTGTGAGTCCCTGTTCTATTGGACATTTTGGCAAAACCATTAAATGATTTCCGCAGTACATCAAATTTTGTTGTGTTGAAGAGATGAATGAACATATTTCCATGTCGCTCTTGTGTTCTGTCCTCAACCATGAGTATAAACCAGATTTGTTTGTTATGATATCAAGCTGCATTTGAATTATGAGTGACTATTGTTTTTCTTACATGAAAACCAGTGTTATGATATTTCCTCCAGTGTCTTGATTACTCTGGACTAACTTGAATCTTGGCTGCCGAGTTTACAAAACAAACATATATGTGCATTACCAGATTTGATGCAGTGTCTGCTACTCTGTCTTTTTTTCCCCCCAGAATCACCAGGGCTTACCGCGTCCACAGCGACTTCCACGCACGATATCGGGCCGTATCACGCACATATGTGTTCCGCTTTGCTTCGGGTCTCAGACATCACACAGAAATGCCAGTAACGGAGAGGGATCTGTGCTGGGCATTACGAGACACGTGAGTGCCACCCCCTCTCTTCTACACGTGCTCTACAACCGCATCACTACGCACATGTCACAGAAGCTAAATCCTCTCGGAGAGCAATAGGAACAAACACATACTCTGATTCACAGTGGAAAAAGCCGCACATGAATTACAAACAAGACCCGTCATAAGGGCAAGCTAATGATTTCCGGTTATCTAGGCCAACACTGAAACCAAAGATGAGGAAAGTATGCATTGTTACGGCAGCGTGTGCCTCAGATGTCTTTTTGAAGCCCTCGATAGAGGAACACCGGAGCGAGAGGCTCATCTCCAAGGGTGACGCGTGAACATTAATGCTATTTTTTCCCACTCTCTTCATTTTTAGCGAGAAATTAGGCCAAGATAAGCTTCAGGCTCGTAGTGACGCAGAACAACACCCACAGCCGTCTTACGTCTGCTTCATGCACACACATAGTCCAGCTGCTTTTCCATCTCATAAGAACGGCCGTTCCACACACACAAACTGGATTAAGTCCTTTAAAAGGGAAGTTTGTAGAGGCTCATCTGAACGTTCCTTGACCTGTATGGCTTTGTCTTTATTCATGTCTTCTAACTGAGATTTTTTTTACCCCTGTCAGCTAGTGCTGGTGATATATTGAATGTTAATAAATATTTAAGCTGAATCTGCTGGAAATACAAAAATTAAGCAACGTTGTGAATTGTCAAGTTGAATATTTATATGTTTTTTGCTTACTAGCCACGATGTTTCCTAAAGACTGTGCCTGTGAAGTTTGCATCATTGATTGTTACTTTGCCGTGAAGCTGCATTGAAACGATCTCTGTCGTATAAAGCACTATAAAAATAAAATTACTTAAAAGGGTCATATGATGCGATTTCAAGTTTTCCTTTCTCTTTGGAGTGTTACAAGCTGATTGTGCATAGATAAGATCCCTGAAGTTGCAAAGACTAAAGTCTCAAAACCAAAGAGATATTCTTTATCAAAGTTAAGACTCTGCCACGCCCCCCTAAAACGGCTCGTTCTAACACACCCCCACATATCTATGTCACTATGTGGAAATATTAGCATAATGCGCCCAAATGTGCACGCAAAGAAAGAAGGCGTGGTTTCAGTAATCGCAGTTAGTGTTGAAGCAGCATGTCAGGGAGACGCTGTGTGTTTCTAGGCGAAAGCAAAAGCACTTTATTTGGCCTTCCGAAAGTAGATGCATTTAGGAATCTTTAAGATTACTTACAACAGAACAGCAATGCATTTTATGGACGACCGTTTCGTGAACCTAGGAGAGGAGGTCATTCTGACTTTGCTATGACAATCTGGCGCTTCTGAATCAGCTACTGTAAGTATGTTTTGTTATTATTTTAAGTATTTGCTATTGACTGTTCAAATGCAGAGTTTTGAGAGAGAGAGAGCGAGAGAGAGAGAGAGAGAGAGAGAGAGAGAGAGAGAGAGTAGAAATATAGTATCAACCGAGATTTCTAATATACTTGAAATTGCATTTCAAAAAATGAAAAAATAAATAAATAAAGTTAAATTCTTTAAAGGGGTCAAATGATGCGATTTCAAGTTTTCCTTTCTCTTTGGAGTGTTACAAGCGGATTGTGCATAGATAACACCAAATAATGATCTTTAAAAAAGCATCATATGACCCCTTTAAGTATTTTAAATATGTATTTAACATTTTTGAATCTATGTGGCTATAATGGAAGGAAAAGCAACTTTATAAGCCATTTCAGTGCAAAAATACAAATATCAAGATATAAATGAAATTTCAGCTGTATACACAACTGTTCAAAAAATTTGAGATTTGATGTGACATGTGGCCAAGTATGGTGACCCATACTCGGAATTAGTGCTCTGCATTTAACCATCCAAAGTGCACACACACACAGCAGTGAACACACACACCGTGAACACACACCCGGAGCAGTGGGCAGCCATTTATGCTGCGGCGCCTGGGGAGCAGTTGGGGGTTCGGTGCCTTGCTCAAGGGCACCTCAGTCATGGTATTGAAGGTGGGAGAGAGCGCTGTACATTCACTCCCCCCACCTACAATCCCTGCCAGTACGAGACTCGAACCCGCAACCTTTGGGTTACGAGTCTGACTCTCTTACCATTAGGCCACAACTCCCCCGATTTGAGAAGAAATTAATGCTTTTATTAAGCATTGATCAAACAGATCAACGTTGAAAATCAAGACATTTAAAATTTTGCAAAAGATTTCTATTTTAAATAATGCTGTTCTTTTGAAATTTCTATTAATCACAGTTTCCACAGAAATATTAAGCAGCACAACTGTTTTCAACATTGATAATAATGTTTGATATTTGATTGATTTCTGAAGGATCATGTGACACTGATGACTGCGGTAATGATGCTGAAAATTCAGCTTTGCATTTAAACGTATCAAAATAGAAAACAGTTATTTTAAAATGTAATAATATTTCACATTACTACGGTTTTTACTATATTTTTGACCAAATAAATGCAGCTTTGGTGAGCATCAGAGACTTCTTTCAAAAACATCATGCCAAATCCTTTAGCAGATAGTGAATGTATCTATATCGCCCTGCCCTGAGAAACTTATTTCCTGAAGTAATAACATGCAGTAATAAAGTACCGTTGATTGCGGTTCCTGCACAGTCTCTGTGCTCAGTGTATATGCAGAGTTTGATTACTCTCCATTACTTCATTCTCCCCACAGGAGGCTAAATATCGCTGCAATGCAAGAGGCTGCCGCACTTCTGTTAGGAACCCATGACTTCAGCACCTTCCGTGCCTTGAGCTCAGAGACGCCCTTTAAGAACCCAGTGAAGACCCTAGAGAAGGCCCAGCTGGAATCTGGGGTCTCGTTCAGTCAGAGACACTTTCACAGGTAGGATAAAAAGCTGCAAAGCCAGAGATTGGAGGAAGCAGCGTTTGGTTGGTGCTGTGATGAGACCAACCATATTGATTGTCAGTGGATTCATCACAATAGACCTTAGGTGCATGTGGGTGAAAATGAGGCTGTGAGAGATAGACTTATAGACTGTATAAAGGTCCTAGATCACATTTTCACAACTCACAAAACTCAGTTTTTTCTGGAAAGATGTATCATAAGATTTGAAGCCCAAAGTATGCTTTGTTTTTCACCAGGGAGGGTCCACGTATAGTGCGCGTGACGCATATTTTGTCACCAGAATAGTATGTGCACCACCCGATTTTTGTAACTGCACGTACTTTGTACGCACATTCCTCACAGCCTCGTTTTCATTCTGTCAAAAATTAAATATGGGGCTAAATAAAGGAATCTGCCCCCCCCCCAAAATAAAACACAGCGGTTGATTACTCATTTTCATGCAATTCCAAACCCAAGACTTGGTTCTGTGGAACACAAAAGGAGAAATTTAGCAGAATGTTCATGCTTCTGTTTTCTGTACAGTGATGGTGAATGAGCTCCAAAAACCTCAAAAAGCACCATAAAACAGCAAGATGTTCATTATATATAAAGTCTACTTGGTTGAAAGTGATAACCAAAAATGAGAATTCAGTCATCATTTTCTCACCCTCAAGTTGTTCCAAACCTGTGTGAGTTTCTTTCTTCTGTGAAACACTAGAAGATATTTTGAAGAATGCGTGTAACCAAACAGTTTCTGGTCCCCATTGACTTACATAGTATGGAAACAAATACTATGGAAGTCAATGGGGACCAGCAACTGTTTGGTTACCAACATTCTGGAGAATATCTTTTGTGTACAGCAGAAAGAAACAATAACGAGTTAATGAGGACAGAATTTTCATTTCTGGTTGAACTATCCCTTGAATTTTAAGTCATTATTCAGTGAAAATCTAACCCTTTGTGATATCTATTTTACTCAGCATTTACTCAGTTCACCAAAATATATGTTATCAGTTGACAAGGCTGTCAGTAGATGTTGGAACTGACTCTTAGGGAAACACTAAACATGGCAAAATGGCCAACGATTAATCGGCCTGGTCGATATATAATGGTCTGTCACGAACCAATAAAGTGCAGTTCATCCCACAATCTGCCAGATTCAATTCTGCCATTTGGTTAATGCAATTGCTTGGCATTTTATTTTAATAGCCAGTTTTCAACAGCATGTGTTGAGGGATTAATTGAGCAAATGTGGAGTCATTCGGCATGGGAGCATATAAATAGCCTCTGACTTCCTAGAAAGTACATTTGTGCATTAATAACCCTAATTATGATTTCATATAGCGAGCCTCATGTTCTTTAACCACTATTATCAGCTACAAGGTAAAGGAATGATTAGGTTGTTTAATATTTGAAATGCAAACACACAGTATGAAAGGCAAAGCTGCTTTATAGCACAGTGGATGTCCAGTCGTTGAGGCTGGTGTTTCATCAGTCGTCTCTTCGGTTAGGCATGTGCGATGAGACTGTTGCTAAGCAACAGATGATGGACTAAAGCGGGATGTTGACAAAAGCAGGTTGCTCGTTCTTGCTGTCCTGCGCTGAGGGACAAACACTGTAGCCTGTCAGATGCAGTGAAGAATGGCTGTTTTTCTACCGTCTGCATCGGTGTTCTGAAGAAAACATTATTTTAGTCACAAATCTATTTTGGGCAAGTCAAAGGGAGGATTCAGTATTTGATGAGTTGAGATATATATATGTACACTATCATTCAAAAAAGTTAAATAAATAAATTATTTTATTCAGCAAGAATGCATCAAACTGACAGTATGCATCACATTTAGAGTACATTTATAATGTTACAAAAGAGTTTCGATAAATGCTGTTCTTTTGAACTTTGTATTAACCAAAGAATCCTGAAATGAATGTATCATTTCACACAAAAAAAATAGGAAGCAGCACAACTGTTTTCAACATTGATAAGAATCTGAAATGTTTCTTGAGCAGCAAATCAGCATCTTAGAATGAAGGATCATGAGACACTGAAGACTGTAATGATGATGGAAATTCAGTTTTGCATCGCAGGAATACGTTTCAATTGAAAATATACTACAATAGAAAGTTGTTGTTTTAAATCGTTATAAGATTTCACAATATTACTGTAGTTTTGGATCAAATAAATGTAGCCTTGGTGAGCATATGAGGCTTCTTCCAAAAAAATATTTAAAAATCTTACTGACATCAAACTTTTGAAAGGTGGTTTACATGCATGTATTTAAAGGAATGTTCTAGTTTATTGCGGTCATAATATACAGTGGGTACGGAAAGTATTCAGACCCCCTTAAATTTTTCACTCTTTGTTATATTGCAGCCATTTGCTAAAATAATTTAAGTTAATTTTTTTTCCTCATTAATGTACACACAGCACCCCATATTGACAGAAAAACACAGAATTGTTGACATTTTTGCAGATTTATTAAAAAAGAAAAACTGAAATATCACATGGTCCTAAGTATTCAGACCCTTTGCTGTGACACTCATATATTTAACTCAGGGGCTGTCCATTTCTTCTGATCAGCCTTGAGATGGTTCTACACCTTAAGTTGAGTCCAGCTGTGTTTGATTATACTGACTGGACTTGATTAGGAAAGCCACACACCTGTCTATACAAGACCTTACAGCTCACAGTGCATGTCAGAGCAAATGAGAATCATGAAGTCAAAGGAACTGCCTGAAGAGCTCAGAGACAGAATTGTGGCAAGGCACAGATCTGGCCAAGGTTACAAAAAAAATTCTGCTGCACTTAAGGTTCCCAAGAGCACAGTGGCCTCCATTCCTTAAATGGAAGACGTTTGGGACCACCAGAACCATTCCTAGAGCTGGCCGTCCGGCCAAACTGAGCTATCGGGGGAGAAGAGCCTTGGTGAGAGAGGTAAAGAAGAACCCAAAGATCACTGTGGCTGAGCTCCAGAGATGCAGTCGGGAGATGGGAGAAAGTTGTAGAAAGTCAACCATCACGGCAGCCCCCCACCCTTTGTGATATCTATTTTACTCAGCATTTACTCAGTTCACCAAAATATATGTTATCAGTTGACAAGGCTGTCAGTAGATGTTGGAACTGACTCTTAGGGAAACACTAAACATGGCAAAATGGCCAACGATTAATCGGCCTGGTCGATATATAATGGTCTGTCACGAACCAATAAAGTGCAGTTCATCCCACAATCTGCCAGATTCAATTCTGCCATTTGGTTAATGCAATTGCTTGGCATTTTATTTTAATAGCCAGTTTTCAACAGCATGTGTTGAGGGATTAATTGAGCAAATGTGGAGTCATTCGGCATGGGAGCATATAAATAGCCTCTGACTTCCTAGAAAGTACATTTGTGCATTAATAACCCTAATTATGATTTCATATAGCGAGCCTCATGTTCTTTAACCACTATTATCAGCTACAAGGTAAAGGAATGATTAGGTTGTTTAATATTTGAAATGCAAACACACAGTATGAAAGGCAAAGCTGCTTTATAGCACAGTGGATGTCCAGTCGTTGAGGCTGGTGTTTCATCAGTCGTCTCTTCGGTTAGGCATGTGCGATGAGACTGTTGCTAAGCAACAGATGATGGACTAAAGCGGGATGTTGACAAAAGCAGGTTGCTCGTTCTTGCTGTCCTGCGCTGAGGGACAAACACTGTAGCCTGTCAGATGCAGTGAAGAATGGCTGTTTTTCTACCGTCTGCATCGGTGTTCTGAAGAAAACATTATTTTAGTCACAAATCTATTTTGGGCAAGTCAAAGGGAGGATTCAGTATTTGATGAGTTGAGATATATATATGTACACTATCATTCAAAAAAGTTAAATAAATAAATTATTTTATTCAGCAAGAATGCATCAAACTGACAGTATGCATCACATTTAGAGTACATTTATAATGTTACAAAAGAGTTTCGATAAATGCTGTTCTTTTGAACTTTGTATTAACCAAAGAATCCTGAAATGAATGTATCATGGTTTTCACACAAAAAAAAATAGGAAGCAGCACAACTGTTTTCAACATTGATAAGAATCTGAAATGTTTCTTGAGCAGCAAATCAGCATCTTAGAATGAAGGATCATGAGACACTGAAGACTGTAATGATGATGGAAATTCAGTTTTGCATCGCAGGAATACGTTTCAATTGAAAATATACTACAATAGAAAGTTGTTGTTTTAAATCGTTATAAGATTTCACAATATTACTGTAGTTTTGGATCAAATAAATGTAGCCTTGGTGAGCATATGAGGCTTCTTCCAAAAAAATATTTAAAAATCTTACTGACATCAAACTTTTGAAAGGTGGTTTACATGCATGTATTTAAAGGAATGTTCTAGTTTATTGCGGTCATAATATACAGTGGGTACGGAAAGTATTCAGACCCCCTTAAATTTTTCACTCTTTGTTATATTGCAGCCATTTGCTAAAATAATTTAAGTTAATTTTTTTTCCTCATTAATGTACACACAGCACCCCATATTGACAGAAAAACACAGAATTGTTGACATTTTTGCAGATTTATTAAAAAAGAAAAACTGAAATATCACATGGTCCTAAGTATTCAGACCCTTTGCTCAGTATTTAGTAGAAGCACCCTTTTGATCTAATACAGCCATGAGTCTTTTTGGGAAAGATGCAACAAGTTTTTCACACCTGGATTTGGGGATCCTCTGCCATTCCTCCCTGCAGATCCTCTCCAGTTCTGTCAGGTTGGATGGAAAACGTTGGTGGACAGCCATTTTTAGGAC